CACCCCAGATGGGACTCGAACCCACAATCCCTGGCTTAGGAGGCCAGTGCCTTATCCATTAGGCCACTGGGGCGCCCCATTTTTGGCAGACATCTTTAAATTTAACCCCACAGTCTTATACTTCTGCGCACCCAATCTGTTGGGTGTTTCAGTTGTATTTGACTCAGACGTTCCGTGTATGGATGTTAACGTTTTGTTTACGTGATAAAAGCCAAGAAGAGCAACCTAAATATCATTTTCTACTGCCATACTTTTTAGCAAGGGCAGCAAACATCCCTCGAACTACTGAAACTCCGTGCTTTTTGAAACATTGCCCATTGTGGCCAATGAATCTATCAGAACGCTCTTATTCAATGGCTCTGGTCAAAACTATCGCGTTAAAAAAACGGAACGTGGTTGCTAGGCAACAAACACCGTTACACTAAAACGTTAAGCTAAACATGAATGAGACTAACCGTAGCCTGTTAGCCTTCAAAATAATTTATCGATTAAGAGGAATGCTACTCAGCGATTTAAAAGCTGTCTCTTTCCTCAGTTTGGGCTCAATATTTTTCATTTTACTAATTAACAAAACCACGCAGTGAAGTTTGGACGCTACGGAATTTTATTAATTGTCAAACTCTCGCGGCCGTGCTTTTAAGTTGAAAAGCAGTCGCCGGAAGTACATGAAATGCTGCTGAAGCTTAACCGTTAGCGAGCTAACGCTACGAAAATATGCCCTCCTTAGTGAATCTGTTGCAACTGCTTGCATTTTTAGAATGATTTCGTAGGCTACTTTTTGTAGAATTGAGGACATTTTGTTTGATTTCATTTCATGATATAACTTTATAAGGTTCCAGGGATCCAGATAGGGGTGTTTTCTGTCGGCTTTGAAACAAACCATCGGAAATGGTAAGAAAACATGTTTATATTGCTAATGTTCAAGCGTTACTACCGTGTATAAAGTGGGATTAATGACTCATAAAGTTGGCATTTTGGGGGCTTCGTCGTATCAGCATCGATACGTTGGAGGTTATGTGGTAATCTCATTAAAACAAAGAAACAAAACCGTTTTATCGATATGTTTTGCTTTTTTTTTTCTTTCCAGATCCTGTCCCGCGTGAAGCCGGCTGTGGGAGCAGAGACTGAGGGGAGCATCGGTGAGAAGAAGAAGAAACAAACGGTTCCCAGTTTGGAGGAATATCTCCAGCAGAGGGACTACCTGGGAGGCTTAACATTACTGGAGGTCATTAATACATCTCAGTCATAACAGAAACACCAGGCAGTTTCCTAGGGCCATAAAACTCTGTTTACATGTATAGTTAATACAACTATTCCTTAGTTCTGCACATTAATTATGTTTTTGATTATAAATACTTTCGGCATCAGAGGGAAGTCAAATTTAAATGTCAAATCATTCCGGCTTAAACATGTATATAAATGTTCTCTTTATCAGACTATATTGTCCCAAAAGTTAGAAAACTTATATATATATATATAAAAAATCCTGTCTTAAAATCTGTATTTTTTTCCGTTATCTTATGCAGGCCAGTTAATTATACGTCAGCCTGAACATCTAAATTCAGCCAATCATATATCAACGGTCATCGGTCAATTTTTTTTCATTCATAGCATCTTGATTCATATGTCGCAGCTAATATACGCAACGGTTGAAATAAGAAATAAGAATAATTTCCTTTCCCATGGAGTTCCGTCCCAGTGTTCACGGGGATGGACGTGTGTCTTCGGCAGGCGTAGAGCTAACAGAACTGGCTCTAACCAGAGTAGAAAAAGAAGTGGGAGGCCGCGTTGCACAACTGAGCAAGAAGATAAGTACATTAGAGTCT